CTTGCCTCTGCTTTGCTCCCCGTCCCCCTGGTCTGCAGACCAGTGGGACGGGGAGCAAAGCAGAGCAAAGCCCCAGAGCACGCGGGCGGCGGGCAGCCCAGACGCATCTGGGCTGCCCGCTGCCCGCGTGTTCTGCCGCTTTGCTTCCTCTCCCTGGTCTGCTGGAGACCAGGGAGAGGTCCCCATTCGTAACTGCGCATCCGGCATAAGTCGGATCCGCGTAACTCGGGGACTGCCTGTACATGTGCATGTTTGCTGAATCTCAGCAATTTTTACTTTGTTTAGGCCATATCCTGTGGCTGCTTTATGTCTGTGGGAGAATGGGTCAGAATGTGGATACTTGCTTACACCTCCATAGAGGAGAGATTTTCAAGGGAAGCTAAGATAGGACACTAAAAGGATACTTTGACTGAAAAAACTTTGAACTTGAATAATCAGGAATCTGAGAAACAGCCTAACCTTAGCAAACCCACACCAGAAGGCTTATGGAATGATGGGGGAAAACTGACTCAATAGCCAATAGTTGGACAGACACACATCAGTGGGAGAAGACTGTACATAGTCTACATTCTGGGGTGCCGTTCTTCTTACTTGGAAAGACTATCTTCTTGAACCTTCTTTTCTCTCAAGCCAAAGCTTGAAGAAAGGTGACTTGCATCATTGTGCACAATAGGGCATTAGGACATATACTTTTCGACATGGAAGCTGAATTTTCTGTCTCTAGAAAAATCTCAGTCCTATAGATCCAAATACCAAGCCCACAGTAGCTAGTAAGATGCTAATTAAGATGATTCCTGTGCAAGGAATGTTTTATTTACATTAATTCATTCTGTTCTCTATCTTTTGCAATCAGAGGTAAAAGAATGCATTCAGAGGTAGAAGAATACATAAAGATGTATCTAGCTATATCCAAGCAAAAATCAGCGAAGCAAACAATCTTAGGACTGCAAGGTTTAAACTCTTTCGAAAATAAGAAAACATTGAACTAACCAGGGAATGTGTTTTTATTATTTGTAGGCTGTACTGTGTGTATGGAAGCCTCTCAAAGTCACTTGGTTTCCTTTCCACTGTACCTACTTGATTGCTACTAGAGGTTGATTGGAATGATCAACCAAACATTGGTCCTAACTTCAAAGACATATTCTAGAAAAATATGCATCTGGAAACACTGCTGACTTCCCCTTAGCTACTGCTTTTTAAATTCATATTAGGAGCAAATATGATACTTTACTGTTCCTGAAAATGACTTAAAGGGGGACAGCTAATTTTTTTTATCCCAATTTGGATTATCAGTCCTATTACCTAGAAGCAGGTGTACTGCAAGTAAATAGCCATTGTATAAACTTCCTAGCAAACAGACTCCTGATACTGCAAACATTTTTCAGTGGGATGGCTTATATGCACTTGATTGGGACTACTTATAGTCTACAAAGTTAAACAAGTAATCTTTTCAGGCTTGCGGATCTAAGCATCAAAGTTCTGTGTCAGAAGTAGGCTTTCTACTGAGTGAGATATGACCTGACACGTTTTGTGGGCTTATCAAATGTTTTAACATTCATTATAAATTAAGATTATTTTACTAGTTTGCTTTGTGGTTAGCACACAATGTATTTAACTTTTGAGAAAAATTGAATATCCTGTCTGTTTAGCTCTATTCATGTCACACTTGAGTCAGTCAGTGAAGTCCTGCAATCAATCAATCAATCAATCAATCAATCAATGTGTTTATGTATAAAAATAATTTCCTACTTTCCATTTTTGTGTTTACAGATTTTAATGTCTTGCCTCTGTTTCCTTGAGGGGAGGTATGGCTCTGTTTTTTTTTAAATAGTTTACTTTTATTTACATAATTTTCTAACTTGCATGCTGATGTAGATGCTATTTCACTTCTATTACAGTAATCCACATAGTAAATGTATAACTTGAACTTTTATGCTTATATTAGCAAGTTTTGGTGATGCTAGCAATATTATGTTGCCTGAAGACAAGTCAGATTGATAGCTATTTCAGTCTTTTTGCCATTATTTTTAGTGGTAAATCATTTTGACACACACAAAAATTAAAGAAAGAAACAAATTATCATAATCTTCTATCTTGAGCTAGTGGAATCTACAATTCCTTTTAAGAGGCAGTAATGCAAAATGTGTTAATACATTAGGAAATGTTCATTTTCCCTGTTCCAAATAAATGATGTTAAAATGCAACAAATGTTGTACATAATTGTCTTTAAAATACCATTTACGTTTAAAGACCAGCACCTCTTTCACTCAAAGCGAATGAATCTTGGTTTTTTGTGTGCACATTGTTAGGCTTAGTCTCCCTGACTCTGACTTGTTTCTATTTTTTTCTTCTACATCTATATTTTGAAAGATTTTTCTCCTGTTGTTTAGGAATTCCCACAAAATTGACTTTCATGCAGGCTCAGGGCTGAATATTCAAAGGAAAAATTCTTATAAAAAACACCAGTACTTGTTCTACTCAAGAGCAGAATAGACTATTCTAAATCATGTGGTAGTAACGATCAGACTGAAATTATCAATTTAGCAATTATAAAAGAGAAATTAATCAGTGATTCACTGTTATGCTGGAGGGGTACAATGAATGGGGTTCCACAGGGATTAGTTCTGGGACTGGTTGTGCCCAATATCTTCATCAATTCTTTAGATAATAGCATAGAGAGAACACTTAGAAATGTTGTGGATAATACCAAGCCAGGAGGAATTGAAGTGCTTTGGAGGCTATGATTATAATTAAAAATAATCTGGACAAACTGGAGAAATGTTTTGAAGTAAATAGGATGAAATTTAATAAGAACAAATGCAAAGTTCTCCAGTTAGGAAGAAACAATCAGTTGCACACATACAAAATGAGAAAGGTCTTCATAGGAGGGAGTACTGCTGAAAGGGATCTACGTGTCTCAGTGAATCATATGATAAATATAATCATGTTGGGAAAAAGCAAACCTCATTCTGAGATGTATTAACATAAGTGTAGTGAGAAAGACACAAGAATTTCAGCACTGATTAGGCCTCAACTGGAGTATTGTTTCCAGTTCTGGGTACCACATTTGAGGAAATATGTGGACAAACTGGAGAAGGTTCAGAGAAAAGCAACAAAAATGATTAAAGGTCTTGAAAACATGACCTATGAGGGAAGAAAAAGAATTGGGTTTGTTTAGTTCGGAAAAGAAAAGCCTGAGAAGAGACATAACAGCTTTCAACAACCTTAAAGGATGTTACAAGGAGGAGGCAGAAACATTATCTTGAACCCCTGATGATAGGACATGAAGCAATGGACTTGCAGCAAGAGAGGTTTCGGTTGGATTTTGGGAAAAGCTTCCAAATTGTCAGGGTGGCTAAGCACTGTAATAAATTGCCTAGAGAGGTTGCGGAATCTCCATCATTATAGGTTTTTAAGAGCAGGTTAGACAAACACCTATCAGAGACGGTCTAGATGGTGCTAGATCCTGCCATGAGTGCAGAGAGTGGACTTGATGACCTCTTGAGGTTCCTTCCAGTTCTATGATCCTATAATTACTTAGCATCAGTTTCACAAATGTGCAAGCAGCAACATGGTTTTGTTTGTGGCTTTGTTTTAATATATAATCATTTGGGGAATCCACAAAAAATCTTTTGAAGTTTTTACTGCAGAAAACAAGCTTGCAGATCAAGGACAACTTAGTTATAGAAATGGTTGTTCTAATGAATTTTTTAGAAGATCCCTCCCTGCAGCACTTTATTTTTGATTAAGAAACACATCCTGAAATCTAGGATTTTAGTTTCATTGGAGTCCTAATGTATTTTCTCGATGCTCTATACAGAATCTCAGCTGTTGTTTAGAAAGTATGTAGTAGACCTATAGTGTGCCATCCGATACGTAGGCCAGATCTACACTTGGGGATAAGTTCGAACCAAGATACACAACTCCAGCTATGTTAATTGTGTAGTCGGAGTTTACGTATCTTGATTCAAACTTTTGTGCTGTCTGCACAGTGGGAGGTCAATGAGAGAAATGCTTCTGTCCTATACGTAAGGAGTAGGATTACTGGTGCTAATAGAGGTGCCTTCAGTGTTTGATTTAGTAGGTCTTTACTAGACGTGCTAAGTCGAATGCTAGAAGATCAATCTCTGGAGTGTCGATCTGCAGGTAAGTATAGACGTGGCTTTAATTTTATCTGTGGTGCTATAAAGAGTACTGACTGGTAACCTTCTATAGGAACTGTTTTACTGCTTGGAAATGGTCATATATGACAGCACAAACTACAAGTACATGAGCTGGAAGTAAATGTACTAAACATCTAGCTCAGTGGCTTTTCCAAGTATGGGTTGCAGCCAAGTACTGGGTTCTAGAATATTATGCACTGGTTTGCCTTGCTATAGGGTGAGCAGGGGGAGTGCTAGGGCATGTTTCCTGCCTATCCTGGCAATGTGAACTGCCCTGGAAGCAGTCAGCATCAGGTCCTGTGCCTACGTAGGAGGCCAGAGGGCTCCTTGCCCTGTCTCCTCCCCGAGGAATGGCTTCATGCTCCCATTGGTCAAGAACTGGAAGAGAAGTGCAGAGCTGCTTGCACACTTCCACCTAAGAGCTGGACCTGCTCTGGTTGCTTCTGGGATGCAGCTTGATCCGCAGTTACAGGACAGGCAAGAAGCCTACCCTTGTTACCCCCATTGACTGGGTGCCTCCAGAGGTAAGCCTGCACTCCAACTTTGTGCTCTAATCCCCTGCCCCCTCCTACATCCCAAACCCATAATTGTTCACTCCATTCCAGAGCCCTCACTCCCAACTCAGAGTGCTCTCCCTAAGTCAACCCACAGCACTCTACCACACTCTGAACCCCCTTTCCAGAAACCGCACTCTAGTGAAAAGATATAATTATGTTGGGTCATGGGTATTATGGGACTATCCAAATGGAAGTATGCTTATGAATGGAAAATTCTTTATACAAAATGTTTTGTGTAAGATGGTACATAAAAAGTTGTCATCTGCTAACTGTATATATTCTATTTCTGTGCATATATCATTCCTGTATTTGAAGTTAGAAATATGGCCTATAAACTAGAGATGTTAAAAAGTGGGTAATTGGGTAACTGTGTAATGACTGAAAATTTCAGCAGTTACAGTCACACACACCTGCACCACGGGTGACAGCCAGTTCTCCGGGAGCTGGTGCATGATGGGTGCTAGTTTTTAAGATGGTTCCAGCTCCTGCCCCGCTCCCAGGGAGCCAATTGTTGCCACATACTGTTGCCTCCAATACAGAGCCAGCAGCATGGGGTGGCAGCTAGCTACCCAAGAGTGGGGCGGGAGCCTGCGTGTAACCATTCATGATAAGCAATACACCTAGGTTTACTGGTTAACCGTGTAAATGGTTATCCTGTTATATCCCTAGTATAAACCTGTTTTACTGATGCTACATGCTAAGTGAGGGCCATCAAGATTATTTCAGAAACTGGGTTTCTCATGGATAAAGACAATGATCTGTAAGTGGGTTTGTTTTTTCCTATAGATCTGTCCATTTGATGTCTGAGAATCCCCACAAGGACATGGGTTTTAGGTCACCTAATGCTGGGACCCATCTTGATCCTTTTGCTTTTCCAGTGAAAGTGAGAAAGTTTAACTGAATACACAGAGGATTTCTGCCTTGCAGTGGTGACCTCTGGGGAAGGAAACAAGGAGTACACAATCCATGTGACTCCTCCCTGCACCCTCCTAGGAAAGCGAGGGGCCTGGGACAACCCCTCCCCGCCCCCGTTCCAGGCTGTACCTCTTCCTCCCTCTGCTCTGCCCTCGCTCCATCTGTTACCCCAATCCCTCTTTCCCGAGAGCCATGATCGGGAGGATTAGCAGGGACCTAATACAGGCAGCAAGGGTTGCCCTCCCATATTTACTTGTGGTGGCAGGAAGTGGAGTGACCTGGCCCCAGCCCACTCTTCTGTCCTAGTTGCGTTGCTCCACTTCCTGCTGTCACTGGTGGTTGTGGGGGTGGTCCCACCCCTTCCCACAAGCCCCCTCCTCCAAGTGACATGGCTAGGAGCTGGGGAAGCTTGAGCAGGGTAGGCTTGGTGACCTCAGTTCTTACTACTGCCGGTGAGTGCGGGATGGGGCTGGGGAGATCCCTATTGCTGGCATCAAGTCCCCAGATTGTCCTAGACCCCAGAGGTGCCCCCCCAAAGTGCAGGGTCCAGGGCAGTGGCCCCAAACAATGGGGGCTGCTGGTCCCTTGCCCCTCCTCTGCACAGCATGTGGGGGTTTCTCATCACCTTCCATGCTGCACCCCATATATAGCCCCTGCTCCCTTGGGCAAAATATATATAAAGGTGGGGAAATCAAACAATAGAGGGCTGCTGCCAAACTCCAGGACACCTCTGCTTATCACCCAAGATAACTGCTAGAAACAGCTAACATTGAACAGGGGAAAGGATCAAGCCCAGACTAGGAAGCTTTCCAGCTGATGAAAAAGATGATTAAAACTCCTGATAAGGAAAGATGTTGCATGTTCTTAGTGCATTAGGCTTAGCTGGCATGTTTTATTTTGTTTTGTTTAGCTTAGTAAATTGCTTTGTGCTGTGTGCTGTTACTTACAACCACTTACATCCTACCTTTTATCCTTACCACAATCACTTATTAATAAACCCAGTGTAAATAATTGTTTGGGGGGGAGGGGGAAGATGACAAGTAGCTGTGCATATCTCTTTTATGTAAGATAGAGGGCATACAATATGATCTTGTTCTGTATAAAACTTGATACAGAGTAAGATGAATTTATCTAGGGTTCTTGTCCCATTGGGGCTGTGCACGTGGGTGC